TTTGCCTTTTTTTGTCTTTGGCACTCCCTTTACAATGACTCTCCACAGTGACCCAGTAAGCTCTGCTTATACCATTCTGGTTCTTTTTTAGTCTTCAGTTCTTTTTCCATATGCCTACTGCAAATCTCTTCCAAACTTTCGCAAACCACATGAGTCAGGTTTAATGCAGCAGTGGTCCCATTTTGGGGTGCTGTTTTTTAAAAAGATTTTTTTATTATTATTTATATGTACATCTATGTATTTGTATGCACATATGCATGTGAGTACACACAGAGGTTTGAGGAGGGTGTTGGATCTCCTGCGGTTGCGGTAATAGGTGGCTATGAGCTGCCCATTGTGAGTGTTGGGAACTCTGGTCCTCTGGAAAATATCTTAACTGCTGAGACATCTCTCCAGCTCACCAGTTTGTTTTTTTCTTCCTTCCCTCTCCCCCACTTTTTTTTTTTTTTTATATTGCTGTCACCATATAGCTGACAGAGAGTAACTTAGGGAGGATGGTTATATTTTGGCTCACAGTTTTAGGGTCCAGACCATCATGGTGAGGAAGACATGGTGGATTCCAGACTCCCTTCTTCCTTCAGTTTGACATCATCCAGTTCATTTTATATATTTGGTTCTTATAAGCTCTAGTACAGATGGCCACTTTGGGAAACTTGGGATTTCTCTTTCAAGGGGTCAGTGACAAAGCACACATCCTTTTTCCTTTTAACCTTTTCCTCAAAGTTTCCCTCCCCTTTCAGTGTAGAGTATTAGTTTATGCTTAGCACCTTCATGTGCTTGAAATTCACCACCTTTAACTGTGAAGATTGTAGCCATCTGTAGCTGTTCTTAAAAGCAAGAGTCTAGGAGTAGACAGAACTCAGTTACTGGAGTAGAACCAACCCTGGGAGTTACATCCAGCTGTTCCTAGAGTTTCAGCAAAACTGTTTCCAGAGTGGGTAGTTGTTCTTGCTGGTTCAAAACTGACATGAGCTTCAGCATTGAAGGAACTCCACACTGATTGTATATTGCAGGAAGTCTGGGTAATGTGAAAAGCACACTGGTTGGGAATAAGGAGGTTGGTTCATTGTGGCCTTGCCATTGACTTTTCTCTGATTTTAGACAGATTTCCCTACTAGCTCTGGTCTGACTCTCCTGTCAGGTAGCACTACAGCCTTTCCAGTGCAGCTATCATCAGGGATAGAAAAGCTATCTTCTATACAGTCTCAATTGTACAGAACACCGTCTGGAATGTGCTTTGGTGTGTTGATTTCTGATTATAAAGCCTTAGATTCTCCTAGTTCTAGAGGGGGAAGGGGAACCATCCAACTGTCTCATTAGCATGGAGAAAAGAAAACAGTAATTACTTGTGCCTCCCTTGATAATTTCTGCGGGTTGGTTCTTAGGGAAGGAGGAGGGGAAAACTGGAGACAGCTTCAGCAAAGAAAGGAGACTATGCAAAGACAAGAATTTGCACATCTGATGTATTCTTAGGACATTCCTCCAGGCAGGCTGGAGACTGCCTGGATTGAATTTCAGTTTTTGTAGTATATATTATGTTCTTACTGTCTGTCACTAAATTACCTGCTACCCATCAGGGTTTCTGTAATATGCCAGGCATTCTGACACCTGCCTTTGTTGGGGAATAGGGTAGGATTTTGCTGGAACACTTTGTGACCTGTCTACGTATTTATGTTATGAGGTTTTGAAGCAACGCAAAATTTTTTATTTATTTTTCTAGTCAAGGTAAACTATCTTTGTGAGTGGGAAGAACTACAAGACTGTAGTTGTTTGTTCAAGGCTAAGAAAAGCAAGATTCATAGAAAGGTTGAGGCAGCTTTGAAAGTAGGAGGTTAGAGACAGCTGAAACAGAACTAGTAAATCCATATGCAAGTTTGGCTGTGGACACTGACTGTTTGCTGAGTGCTAATCTTTGATTCTCTGTGTGTGAGCATTTGGAAGCCCAGAAGTACTGATTGTAGCAGTAGAGGATTGGAGGAGAACCTCTGCTGGCGAGCATTGCTGGAGGGAGATTGGAGCTAGAAGGCTGTGATTATCTTCTGTGGCTGCTCTCTCCTGTCTTGGTTGCTACTCCAGAGACCAAGGAAACTCAGTCTTTTTTTTTCCCTTCCCTTCTTGGAGGAAGATACCACTTCAATACTACCTTTGAGGTAGCCTTTAGAAGTCATGTACTGTAAACAACTAAGGGTTCTATAAAGCATTTGTTTACCAATACAGAAAATGATTGCTTCTGTCAAATTTATAGTCTTCTACCCCTTTAAAGCATTCCCTTTTTACCTCACTGAGCCTTTTGTTTGATTACCACACCTTTACTGTTCAGGTTCTGTTGTTCCCATAATTTTATATTCCTGACTTATTTTCCTTTGCTTCTAAGTATAGATTCCTGGTTTCCTTATACTTTTGTAGAATCTGTTCCCTATTTTTAGATGGACTATTCTAAAATAATAACAGTCTAAGGGAAGGACAATTCCCTTCAGTCTAACTTGCAGTTAATTGGGCCATAGTAATGTCCTTCCCAGAAATTAGGACAGAATATATATCCAGGACACAGTAAATTCTGGTTCTTAGAAAGGTCTCCATATCAGTGTGTCAGATGCTTTGGTCATATATTTCAGGACAAGCCTACTTGTTAATAGTCTCAAGCTTTAGCATGTAGTCTCGGGGCTGGAGAAATGGCTAAGTGATTAAGTGACTCAGACAGAGTACTTGCTGGTCTTTCAGAGTACCACAGTAAGGTCCCTAGCATCCACATCCAGTGGCTCACAGCCTCTAACTGCTGCTCCAGGGGATTTGATACTTTCTGGCCTCTTTGTGTCTGAACAAATTTGACATTCATTCACATAAACCCACACAGAAACACATAAATAAAAATAAATCATAATCCTCTATGATTTTTATTTTTGTATGTCTGTGTTAAGATTTTTCTTATTTTTATTCATGTGTGTCTGGCTGTGTGAGTGAATGCCCTGTGAATGGCAGGTCCCCATGGAAGCCAGAAGAGAGCCTTAGAGCCACACTTGACAACTGTCTATGAGATGTCTGATGTGGGTGTTAGGAACCAAATGGGTCCTCTGGAAGAACAGCAAGTACTCTTAACCACTGAGCCATCTCTCCAGCCCTCAAATAAAATCAATGTTTAATTAAAGGGGTGGGGGGGCCAGTAAGATGGTTCAGTGGGTAAAGGAACTTACTGCCAATTGTGATAACCTGAGTTTAATAACTGTTCCCACATAGTGGGAGGAAAGAACTGACTCCTGCAAATTGTCCCCTGACCTCCACATATGTACCATAGCATGATCCTGTGTAGGATACCTCCACACCCACATAAGTAATGGGGGGGGGGAAGATTGTGGTCCAGTATGGTAAAAGCCTCACGTTGTGATTTGAAAGAAAGAAAAATGTCACCTGTAGGTTCATGTGTGTGAATACTTTGTTCCTTAGCTGGTTGTGCTATTTTGGAAGGGTGTGAATACTTTTGGAGATGGAGCCTCCCTAGAGGAAGTAGGTTACTGTGGGAAGGCCTTGTGGTTTTATAACCCAGCCCTGTTTCCTGTCTGTTCTCTGCTTCCTGACCAATGCGCTGTTATTCCCTGCTGCTTCTCCATGGTGGACTCTATCTCTCCTCCTTATTTCTAATATTTACTTATTAATTTAATTGTTTATTTATGAGTGCTTGTGTTGGTCAGAGGACAGCCCTCTTGGTGAGTCAGTTGGTGAGTCCTATTTTTTGGGTCCTATGGATTGAACTCACATGGTCAGGCTTCAGTAAAGTGCCTTTATCCGCTGAACCATTCTGCTAGTTCTGTATCCTCTGTCTGTCTGTCTGTCTGTCTGTCTATCCACCCACCTTCTTCCCCCGCCCCCAAGATTTACTTATATGTGTGACAGTGTTTTGCTTTCATTTGTGTCTGTACACTCTGTGTGCCAGGCTCCTGCTTAGGTCAGAAAAGGGATCTGGACTGGAGTTTTTGTATGTCACTATGTTGGTATTAGGAATTGAACCTTGATCTTCTGCAAGATCTAGTCTCTTAATCTCTGAGTCATCTCTCCAGTCTCCTGTATTCCCCTCCAACCTTTTTTTTTTTTTTTTTTTTTTTTGGTGGTGGTGGTGGTGGTAGATTCAAAACAGTTTCACTGAGTAACAGCCTTGGCTGTCCTGGCACTACTAGATCAAGCTGGCATGGAACTCACAGAGGTCTACTTGCTGTTGTACCACCACCTGGCAAGTCTCTTTTTAAAAATAGATATTTTCATTTTATGTGTATCTTTGTCTGAAAGTATATATGTGTATGTCCCTGTAGAGGTCAGAAGAGGACATTGGGTCACCTGGAACTGGAGTTACAGGTGGTTGTGAGCTGGTTTATGGGAACTAAATGCTGATCCTCTGCAAGAGCAGCAAGTGCAGAGCCATCTCTCCAGCCTCCTTAAGTGGCTTTTTGTTAGGTATTTGTCATAAAAAAGTGGGCACAGAAAAGTAACTAATAATATCTTTGTGAACTTTTTCTGTAACAGTAGACTCACAGCACTAGCTCTGGTTTTGCAACAACAACAACAAAAAAACAAAACCACGAGGGTTGGGTGTGGTACATATTTGTAATCTCAGTTTGGGAAGTGGAAGCGGGAGGATTGAGAGTTGAGGGTCATCCTTGGTTGCCTAGTGAGTTGAAGGCCAGCCTGAGCTACATGAGGTTCTTGTCTCAAAAGACAAGTAAGATTTATATAACGGGTCATTACTGCTGTCCTTTTAAAAAGAAAAGTCTGTGGTTTCTCACCACACTGATCTCATGGTATCCTTTGAAAGGGTTCCCCTGGCCATTTTATCTGAAGTAGGTTCTACTCTTACTCCTTGTTTTTATTTCATGACTATGTTTAAATTTTCTTCTTCACACTTCTTCACACTCACGGTCTGAAAATCATATATTCAGTATGGAACCAGGATTCAGAGTGTATGAGGGTAAGACCCTTGACCTCTTTTTTTTTTTTTTTTTTTCCTGTTACAGGTGAGCCCTATTTCTAGAGACAGCTGCTGCTGCCCCTCTAACCCAAAGGACAAAATAGCTGGCTAAACTCATTCTTGGTACTGGTGAGTGAGGGTATCCAAGCAGTTTGGGCAACATTGGGCTACGATTAGTTTAGAAATTCCTTTCAGCCTTTGTACTGATCTCTTACAATGGCTATTGTTTTTAGGCATTGGATTATTCTAGAGGTTGGACATGAGCTTAGGTGGCCTGCTGGTCTAGGAGGATGATTGCAGTCATTTTCTTGCAGTTGCCATTAAGAATGTTTGGGATCATTTGCTAGAAAGAAGGCTTTTTTTTCCTTGTTGCTCTTGCCAGTCTTGTGAGTGACAGAGGGTACATCTCAGGACCTAGAACCTGTATGTATCCTCTCATGAATTCTGTTGTAAAGTGAATAAAAGGGAGAGCTATGATCCAAAAAGCTGAGAAGGACAGCAGTTTTAGAAGCCCAAACCCAAGTATAACAGAAAAGGCTTGATTCTCTGCAGTCAGATTCCACTGTATTCTAAGCTTAGCGTTTCCAAAGAATGACTACATGCCCTCTCTAGGTCTGAGGAATTTATAAAACAAGAATATCAACACATACCTCTCAAATTGCTATGAAAAGGAAATACATTTATACAGATTTAGAATGTGCCTAGTTACACAGTTTATCCCATAAATAACTAACTTAAGTTTTCATATAAACTAAAACCACAGAACTTACCTAAATTCTCTAAGTTCCACCCCCATCTTAGTGAAGCTCACAGATAAGTTTGTAGGGTTGTTAGCCACCTTTATATTCAATGCCCTCCAGTCTATTATTTTAAACTTATCATTTTTCTTTCACCCTTTTTATTACTGTCAGCTTCCACCTCTACCTCTAGCTGTTAATTAGTGTAGCATAGCTCCTCTTGCTGCTTTTAATTTTATCTGCAGGAATATAAAAGCAAGATTGCTAAACTTGTAATCACATGTTAAAAGTAAGAATAAATTAGTACCATTCAAGGACTTAGGGATGATAATGTTTTGGTTCCCTGTTTTTCAGTTGGGCTCTGGGAAACTCAAACTATTATACATATGCTTATATATTACACACTTATTTACATGGAATCATTCACTTTTATACAAGATTTCTCTGTGTAGCCCTGGCTGACCTGGAACTCACTCTGTAGACCAGGCTGGTCTTGAACTCTTAAGAGATCCCCCTGTCTCTGTCTCCTGAGTGCTAGGATCAAAGGCATGTGCCACCACCACTCGGCTGAACAATTTACATTTTTAAGTAAAGTGAAATGTTTTCACAGGACAATAAGGCCTAAGCTTGGCATACAAGCTGTGGAAAGATCACCAAGACAACAGTGTTAGTAAAAACCTGAAGATTCAGAGTAGGAAGAAAAACTAGAACTTGCCAACACTAAATTCAAGAGTACCATGTGAGCATTATATTACTCTGTGCCCTCTCAAGTAGACAGAGGTGAGATACAAAATGACTTAAATCAATGGGGGTTGGGGATATTGTCTAGTGGGAAAACTGGAATGACCAATTAGGTATACAGGTATCCTTTTTCACTATCAGTTGAGGTGGGAGTAGGCGGTTCTTCTGAGACAACAGGAAACAAGCAATGTATGTAGTTGGTTAGTGTTGAAATGGGTTCTTGAAAAGATATGCTTTAAGATCTACAGCACAGCAGAGGCCTCATAGCCTGGGCACCTCAGTGCATTGGAACCTAATCCTACAGAACACATGATGTAAACTGCAGCTGCCAGCCTTGCACAGTTCTGTCATCTGTGCCCTGGAATTCATTTTTCCTATGATAAAATATTGTTCTGGGTACGTCCTGCAGAAGAAGGGGGACAGAAAGATATGGGGAAAGATTTACAGCAGAAATTCCCTAAGGAAAAGCCTCCCTTTTGACTTTGGGGAATAGGGTGGCAAGCAGGCCTCACTTTGTCTCATTTGTGCTACTTACTGATTCACAAAATTTTCTGACTTAGATTTTTCATTTGATTCTCTACATTATCACTGAATGAATGATTGCACACACAAAAGACATATGGTGGGGGTTGGCGATTTAGCTTGTTAGCAGAGTGCTTGCTTAAGTAAGCACAATACCCTGGGGTTCAGTCTTCAACACCAAGCAAAAACAAAAACAACAACAAAAGCATGTGGTCAGGGGTGCAGGGAGATACAACATTTCTACTAACTGGACACAAGAGATAGTATTAAAAACTCAGGTCTACCATAGTCAGTCCAGCTGTCTAGGTCCCCAACTCCTGTCAGTCCAGCTTTTAACATCCTTTCAGTTCTAGGTATTATCTTCTTCCTTGGTCTCCTCAGGTACTAAGCACATAAGTGGTGCACAGACATTACATGTGGGCAAAAATGCCTGCATACATTTTTAAAAAAAATGGCTTTGTCTTGCCCTAGAATATTTAGAATCTTCTTGAAACCAGTTTTTGTTATTTTGGTCGGTCGGTCTGTCTCTCTGTCTGTCTGTCTTTTTTTTTTTTTAAGATTTTATTTATTTTATTTATATGAGTATACTGTAGCTGTCTTCAGACACACCAGGAGAGGGGATCAGATGTTTGTGAGTCACCATGTGGTTGCTGGGAATTGAACTCAGGACCTCTGGAAGAACAGTCAGTGCTCTTAACCCCTGAGCCGTCTCTCCAGCCCTGTTTGTTTGTTTTTATTTATTCACTTTACATGTTATTTTGGTTTTTTTTTTTTCCTCCCAGCTCTAGAAATGCCTTGTTTTCTGTGATCCAGCCCTTTCATATAACAAACAGATAATGCAGTAGACTAGAAAAGAAAGAGACACCCAGAATTCCAGTTCCTGTCAGTATTAGCTTGACCTTTCAGAACCTTGCTGTTACTTGAAAGAGGAGACAGGCCGGGCAGTGGTGGCGCACGCCTTTAATCCCAGCACTTGGGAGGCAGAGGCAGGGGGATTTCTGAGTTCGAGGCCAGCCTGGTCTACAGAGTGAGTTCCAGGACAGCCAGGGCTACTCAGAGAAGCCCTGCCTCGAAAAAAAACAAAAAACAAAACAAAACAAAAAAACAAAAAAGAGAGGGGGGGGGGGGGGGCAGTAATAATAGAGTAGACATGCAGAGGAATAATACTGAGAAAAATAAAGGAAAAACTAAGGATCAAGAAGTGAAGTCACTTGCTCAGACCAAATTCCAAATCTCTTCTGTCTCATTCTAGGGTTTTCTTCTCTAGAGCCAAGGCCATTTGCATTCATATATATGTGGTAGCAAAAATTGGAACAGAAATGTCAGCTTTCCTAACATCTTCATCAATGGCCTTAAAGTCCCCTGTGGTGTGTGTCAATAACATAAGCTGTACTTGTTTTTAGAAAGAAGCGCTTCAAAAGTACTCCTGTTTGGTTTACTTTGGCTGGTACAAGATGCAGATGATCTTAGAATAGCACAGCAGATTGTCTAATTAGCCCATTCCTGTGGTGCTACACTCTGATCTGCTGCCTGGGGTTTGTCCCTGAGTCCTCCCTACCTTTCATCATGTAAGTCAGAATCATGTTCAATGATTCAATTAAAAGGAAATCAAATAATTGTTTTCTTTTGCTAGTTTGTCCTCTTCTACTTAAGGATTTTAAAATTAATTTATGTGCATTCATGCTTTTAGAAATAAGTTTACAGAGACCATTGCTCCAGTAAGAGTCTGAGCAAGGCAAAATTTTACTCTTCATCATGAGAGTGTTCTGTTCACAGAAGCAGAGAAGCAAGCACACAGAGGTGGGAAGTGTACTTGGTTTTTATTCTAATACTGGTAAGATCTGTGTCTTTTCTCCACAGCCTAGGGTTCAGCCTCCTATAGTCTCTTGAGATAGGCTACTTTTTTTTTTTTTTTTTTGGTTTTTCGAGACAAAGTTTCTCTGAGTAGCCCTGGCTGTCCTGGAATGCACTCTGTAGACCAGGCTAGCCTCGAACTCTCAAACTCTGAAATCCGCCTGCCTCTGCCTCCCAAGTGCTGGGATCAAAGGCGTGTGCCACCACTGTCCGGCCGATAGGCTATTTTTAAAAGAAAAGTACGAAGGAAATAAAGTGGGTGGGGGAGTTAACCACTTTAATCCAAGAGTAAAACAGGGCCTTTGTGTAAATAATGATTTTATGGGGAGTGGGATTAAAACACTTGCATGAAGTCCTACAAGGTAGGAGAGACAAAAAGATTTGAATTCCTTGTCATAAACCCAAGTTTTCTAGTATTTGATAGAAAAGACTCAATGTTGCTTACATGTCACAGTACAAAAGGAGGTCCGAGAACTTTTGGGAGTTGGTTCTTTCTTTTTATCATCTAGATCTTGGAGATCGAATTTAAGACACTTTTACCCACTGAACCATCTTGCTAGTCTTTTATTATTAACTCTTTAGCTTAGTATGAGTAACACATTTCATCATAGCATCACCATATATCATTTTATTTTGTTCTTACCCTCTCCTGCTTTTCTGTGCCACTTCATCTCCCTCTTGAGTAATATTTAATATATGTATACTGTGTGTTTGTGGTCAGTATTTTAAATAGATTATCTAATCTTTATAACTCATTAAATTACTAACATTTCTAGAGGGGAAGCTAAAGCTTTATAGTGAAGAAAATAAATGCAGAGGCCACATCCTGTCTAAAATGGCTCTGTTTTGAACTCTGACCTCCTGACTTCAGAGACTGAGCTCTTTCCTGACAACCATGCTACCTGAATGGCTTCTGCCACATCATTTCAGGAAGAGTAGAATATTTAAAAGTGACCAGCAAAGGGTGGGCATTGAGTAGCCTGAGAATTGGAACTATCTTCCATGCCTTAGTCATTTTCTCAGGTTTCTGCTGTCTCCTGTCTCAAACTGCCATACCCAGAACTCAGATTTTGATCCCAGAGATCCAAGAATCAAAAGGCCATCTTTGACATGAAAGAGTGTCCAGTACATGTGCCTGTTGTTTTCAAAGTTGAGAGAGGGGAATATTTCAGGCAAATAAGTCCCCGTTATGTGCCTACCACTGAAGAGCAGGAAAAGGAAACAAGAAGTCTGTATAGATCAAGCTTAGTATCAAGCTCAGTGAGCCTCCTTAGG